TATATATATATATATATATATATATATATATATATAGGGAGAAGCAGGTATAGTATCTCAATCCTTCCATTCAAAAGGGACAGCAATCACAAGGATTTCCAATGTACCAGAAACTTATAGATTTTCAGTTTCTTCTATTATTTAACAGAACCAGTGAGGATTTTTATCCCCAAAGAAGCTAATTGTTTCCACAAAAAGAGGAAATATATAAATATAAGATGCACAGTGGATACCAGGAGATTTAACCGGCTAATGACAGACTGAAATAGTTACCAAAAGAATGTGGAAATAATCTGTTTTTAATCCAGGCTGATAGATGATGGCAGTCAAGAAGTTTCTGGGAGATTTTAAAAGAATCCAGATGGGCTTCATTCACAATACCAGAACAGAGCTTGAAAAAAAACTTTGCCTATGAAAAATAATCTTGGCCAGCCTGTTTCATTCATTCATTCTCCCTTCCTTTAGAATTTGCTAGAATTGTGTCTGAAATACCTTCCAAAATGTCAAAAGATTCCCTATTGTTTAAAGATCATGTTTCCTTTGGTGAGGAATCATTATTTTTAGATTTTTTTTCCTGACTGTCAAAGTATACTTCTAATTCTCTGATTTTTTTTTTTTGAAATGGGGAAAAAGACTGAGGGCAAATAAAACACTTACCAAACAGTCAAAATGTCAGGACAATCAGAACCAAGCACTTCCCAAAGTACCCGGCAAGCTCCAGGCCAATGATTAGCAAAACTGTATGACTTTCATGTGTGAAAGTCTGAGCAATTTAAAATGACATTCTATTTTTTGGGGGGTGGGGGGTGGGGGAGAAAGAGGAGAAGAGCTGTTTGGTCTTCTGTAATGTAATTTAAATGAAAATCCAAGATTATAACTGGAATGCAGGGTATTAGTTACCAAGTGTTTGTAACTTAACTTTCATGTGTTTAGGAAATGCTGAATAGTTATGACTTTTTTCTATATTGTAGTTTAAATAAATTACCAAAACAATTGAAACTGCCATGATTACACTGCATTATTTTGACAAATAAAGTATGCAGAATTTTGAATGTTTTGGTGCAGAATCCCCCCCAGGAGTAAAGAATACCTCAGAGGAACACCAAGAACCTCGTTAGCCAAGGCTTCAGACTACCTGAAAGATGCCCCAGTCTAACTGCAACAAACGGAGGGGGGAAAAAAAAACTGTCTAAAATATCCCACATTCTGAACTTTTTAGGCCAGAATTCTTAGACCAGCTCCCTAGCTTTTGTGCCCATTCTTAGGGAATGTCAGTAGATTATACATCTCCTGATAGTTAGTTAAGAAATTAACAAGGACAAGCTCAGGCCAGAATTGGTTCACCCTAGAACAGAGGTCGGCAACCTTTCAAAAGTGATGTGCTGAGTCTTCATTTATTCACTCTAATTTAAGGTTTTGCGTGCCAGTAATACATTTTAATGTTTTTAGAAGGTCTCTTTCTATAAGTTTATAATACATAACTAAACTATTGTTGTATGTAAAGTAAGTAAGGTTTTTAAAATGTTTAAGAAGCTTCATTTAAAATTAAATTAAAATGCAGAGCCCCCCGGACTGGTGGCCAGGACCCGGGCAGTGTGAGTGCCACTGCAAATCAGCTCGCATGCTGCCTTCGGCACGCATGCCATAGGTTGCCTACCCCTGCCCTAGAACCATAGAGGCCCAGTATACCCCCTCACATGAAGCCTTAAAGACCTTCACAGCCAGAACTGCCAAGTATCATGCTTCTCACATTACACTCATCCATGTGGCATCCCTCTCATGCCTGCCTACATCTCAAGTAAAATCTCGCTCATAATGAGATATTCCTCATGAGATGGGCTGGAAGCCAGGAGACTGATTTCTGCTCTTATCTCTTCTACTGACTAACTGTAATATTCATGTGCATTTTACATCCATTAATAAGTCAGGCCTCATATTTCTATCCTAGGAGGGAGGTAAGCATCATTGGGACCATTTTACTAATAAGGTAACACGCTTCATGAGGTCATTTCAGGCACAGCGGGGGATCATACCCAGGTCTCTAAGGTTAGAGGACACAAGTATCACCCACTTTGTCACAATGGCATTCAGAATGAATATACCACAGCAATGTGCTTGATGATACTGCCTGTAACCACTACTCTAACTACCAGACCATAGTCTTCTCCCAGAACCAGAGAGAGAACCGAGAAAACCAGACATCCTGTATTCAACAGTTGTCTTACAAATAGTTGTGTAGCCCACTTGAGGCTTGTCTGCATAGAGGACAACAGCCTGTTTCTGCTATCAGCAACTCTTAACTCTAGTGGAAGAGGTATGTGCCGTGGATCTGCAGGTTCTGGCTTCAAACCCTACAACCTGTCATGCTTACAGAGCTAACTGCACCTTTGACTCCTCTCCACCCCCAATTATTTTGAGTGCACCCCTCTGAGGCACTAAGCCTCATGCCCTTACATTTTCTGTGAAGGAATCCCATAATTCTCCTACTCTTAGACCAGATCCTGGGCTCCAGTTCCCTGTGCACGGGGTTGCCACACCACTCAGGTTTGTCCCAGCCACGCAGGACATTTGGATAGTAGAAAGGAACTTTTTAACTAACACCGCAGTAGTTGCAGGATTAAAGTTGAGTGTGCCTTTGGCCACTTGCAGGGGAGGTGGTACTCGCTAATGACAAGACTAGAGGCTGCCTTGTGCTTCTATGTAGAATAGCCAGTGTACTCAAACTGTTTAATGTACTGGTATACACTGCATAATAATTTTTTTTTAATTTTTAAGTGATTTGCGTTGTCTCTTGTTGGAATTACAACATACTTTATGTATGGGATGTGCTTTTATTAAACTGTAGTCACCCTTGAACTAAAAGATATTTGAGAAATAGTGCAAATTAAAACTTTGTCAATAGAAGTGTGCAATTTCACTAACAAAAAAACAATAGAAGCTCAAGAACAGTAAAGCGCAATCTTAAGAGTCCAATCACAAA